ACCCGTTGATGAAGCAACAACAATTGAGCGAAAAGGTAGTTTTGGTACATGTTCATATTTGGATTGTTTGAAATCGTAATCAGTTATATTTATTGGTTTTATTATTGGAACATCAGACATAATAAAATAATATTAAAGTTATTTAGAAAATATTTTATATTTATTATTTTATATGAATAGAAGTTATTCGGATTATATTGATATAATAGATAAAGTAGAAAATATAGAACAAGTAATAATAACCGATAATAAAATTAAGAAATGTTGTTATTATTCATTAGAATTAATTAAGTTAGGAATACAATATATTAAAAATATAAATATTAATATAGATGGGAAGGAAAAAAAGCAAAAATAATAAAACAGGTTTAAGTGTTTCTTCAACCAATGAAGAAAAAGAAGAAATTGTTAAAGAAACATCAGTTATTGAGTTTGCTTGTCCAATGTGTAAAAAGATGTTAGAAATGAAAAATGAATTAGAAATACAAAAGAAAGGACATTGTAAATGTTCGTGTATTCCAACAAGTTTCAAAATAAGTAAAATGATAAGAAAATGAATATTGATAAAACTAAAGACAGTATAAACTTAGAAACAGATGTTCATAATATAACTTTTAAATGGGGTCGGCAAGCATCACCATCCGATAGTGGCGATAAGGAAACTCAGGAAACTGTTAAACAAATGATGAAAAAATAGTATTTAAAGAGTAGATTTAACATAATTGCAACATTTAGTTTTAAAAGTTTAGTTTTATAATTTAGTATATATGGAGGAACATTTAGCGAACATTGACAGTAGTTTAGAGTTGTTGTTTCCAAGATTAGAAAAAGTGTTGGAGCAAAATGAAAACATACTGAAAATCTTAAAGAGCTTGAATATTAAACCTACATATGATAACAATAACAATTATCAAGCAAAAGAAGTAGATAGAGACAGTAGCGAATACAAAAATAAACGAAACATTTATGTTAAAAAACTGAATGAAAAAATCATAAAAGAACCTAAACAATCAAGTCTGGATTACTATCAAGTCAAGTATAAAGAAGACACCAAGAAATACGTTTAATCATTAACTAACAAAATTTCGTGTCTCAAAAGCGGTTTGTTTATTTCTGCTACTTTGTAAGTTTTATTACCCATAATATCATATTCAATTTTATCGATATTGAATATTTTATTAGACCATTTAGAGTTATACTCCTTTCTGTCGGTGTAATTACCCCTTTTCTTTTGAAACACTTTTACCTTGTCGTTCTCCACTATTCTGGGATACTTTCTTTTGTTTTTTTCTCGTAGTTTAAGATTGACCTTTACATTTATTTCATTCTCGTCCTTGTGTGCTTCAGACGGTGTCATCCTTGTTGATGAGTGAGATGTGCTGTTATACTGTTTCAATGCCGGCGTTAGGGCGTCGGTCCATTTCATGTTGTTAAACCTAACTCTATCGTGAATTTTGTTTTTCATCGTTCTAATAAAACGCTCGGCCACATTTGCGTGGGTCTTCGTAACGATGTGGTTTATTCCTTCACTGTTGAAGAAATCCTGAACGTGATTTTTAGTTGCAAACGCTCCGTCGTCATCAGAATACACGGACATCGGATAACCCATCTTTTTAAAGCTTGCTCTCAACGCCTTCAAAACGTTCTCTCCGTCTCTTTCCTCCATCGGTATTACATCTGCTAATTTACTGAAGATGTCAATCACGACTAAAGCATACTGTGGAACGTTCTTGTCTTTTGCTAAAGGAGACATATGCATTATGTCTATTTGATATTCATATCGTGCGAATGGAGCGGTATAGGAATTAGTTCCTCTATAATTTTTGATTTGTTTATTTGGCTGTTTCTTTAAGAAAGACTTTACATCGTCTAATGTTATTGTTGGGTCTTCTTCCTTTGCCTTCTTGTGTGTCGCTTGTGTGCTTCCGAAACCCTCGTCTAAGTCGTAATAGATGTTGCTGATTATTTGGTCTTTTGTTAATCTCGCCATTATATTAAATTGTTAGAAAATATTTTTTCAATAAAAACCCCGCCCCTTAACATAAAATAAAAAACTACTTAAAGAAATATTAACTTATTTAAAGAAATATTAACTTATTATATTAAGTGAAAATATGACTGAAAATGTCGGAGTGATTGCTGACTTATCAAACTGGGTGCTATCAGACGAAGAAGATGATGATAATGACAGTTATAAAAAGGAATTAGATGACGAGTTAAACAAAATAAAGGATTTCGTCAAAAGACACCCTTTGCCATCAGTTGATGAAAACGAAGAATTCTGGAAAGATGTTATTAACAGGTTTAGGGATAATAGCGGATTAAACTTGATGACAATATACTCATTTGTTAGGTTTGACATCATGAAAGAAATGTATGAAAACCTAACAGATGAAAACATCATAAAAGACTGTGGTAAAAAGTTAAACCGAGATGGGCAGTTTAATGCTATGATTATTAATCACTATATCTTATCGGGAGCGATACGGAAACTAAACACAGAAGACAGTCTAGTAGATGGACAGATGCGAATTATTGAATTCTGGTGGGATGGAATAGGTGGATGGAAAGCGTGAGTGATTTAGTTTAATGATATTATTCAATTATAATATGATTAAACCTAGTTTTTATAATCTAACAATGAGGTTAAGACATTTAAATTAAACCTGAAACCCAGACCAGCCGACCAGCAACCCCCTAGCCAAAACTACTTAAAGAGAAAAAGCCTTATATATTAAGAGAAAAATGAGTAAGGGTAAAATGTCAGAGAATAATTTTATGGATGAGAATTGCGCTAGCTTACCTGAAGGCTTAGTTTCAATCATCACTACTTACATTAATGGTAGTGAAGGGTGGCGAAGACTGAAACAATGTGATGCTTTAAGAGAATTACAAAGGAAATGGAAACCGTCTATTTACACTGAACGAGTAGGAGAAAGTAGATATTATGTTGAGATTCGCAATAAATGCTTAAAAGGTGATAAAGCGCTTTCATATGCGTTGAAACCACCAAAAGAATTATTAAGAATGATGAAGTATGATGAAGAAATACAGGTTGGAATAGTAGTTAGTTCAAAAATTATGTATAATAATAATATTTGCAACAGTCGTTCTTATTCATCATCTAAACAGAATAAGATTTCAAGTAGAGCGTCATTACAATACCATATTGAACAAGCAGTTGAAGAAACCAAACAGACTATGAAACGACACGAAATCATTACTATCGAACATGTTGCAATTGAAATTTATAGAAAACAGAAACAATGATTTCATGGCTTAATCATAATATTTAATTATAATATGATTAAACAGTGTAAACTTTTATAACCTTTCATTATACTGTAATTTCAACCTATAAAACATAACTAGACAATCACATAAAAATCACATAAAAAGAAGTTGTTAAGATATATTAAGAAATGGTTGTGAAGCAAACTATAATGAATAATTATGGAATGACAGAAGAAAAAGCAACAGAAGACTATGGTGAATTCTTCAAATGCAACAGATGTCTTTATGATAAAACAATTGATGAATTTGGAAATGTAAAAAGTGGAAGAAGATATAAATATTGTCAAGAGTGTAGAGCGAAAATAAATAATTGTAGAGATAAACGTCAAAGAAAACAAACGACCCAGCAACACCCCAGAACTTGATAACTACTAAAAGGGTCAACTCTTTCAAATGAAAAAAATGTTTGCCCCCAGCCCAACAATGAACAAGGGGGGCAATTACCCAAATGATTACCTTAACGAAAACGATAAATAAGCTCCCTAAAAACCCTCTTTTCAAAACGAATAAGGGGGAACATAGATTTGAGATGAACATAAAAACCAGAACAGGCAACCATCAACAGACCACCCCCCAGGCCCCCTACTTTCTCCATTTTTTGGGGGGGGGTGGGGGGGAATGAATACATCACTTCTTCGAGTTTGCTTGACATTTGTTTTTTTCCTCTTTCTGTGGGGCGTGTGATGTTCTTTGTTAGTGTGCTGAGCTGTCTTGTTTTGCTGTAGCTTCTTGTGCCCAAGCCATGGTGTCAGAAGACGTTCGTCTAGCGTTTGCCTTCATCATCTTGCTGCGTTTGGCTGGCGTCTGGCATTGCTTCTCCACACACTCTGTGCTGGGTCCTTTCTTCACTGTCTGGCTGCCTTACTTGGACTCTCTTCTGAACATCGCATGCCAACCAGCGGACCCCATCTCGTCCTTTGTGTCTGCTGTCACGGTATGCCTACATAGGTTTCCGCTTGACTTTTCGGCTTTAGGCACCTACGTTCCTTTCTTGTGGTCCACCTGGTGTGCATCCTGAAGTCGTCATCTGCTGCGCCCTTGCTCTGCTTCCATCGGCGTGGCTTCTGCTTGTTGGGTCTTGTCTCGTCGCTTGTCTGGCCTACGTCTCGTCGCTTTGGGTGAAGAACAGACTAAGGACCCCTTCCCCCCGTCCGTTTTTGAAAAGAGAGTTGAACATGCCAGTGTGTTGCCTTCAACCGAAGAACCGACAAAGATGTTTTGGGAATTAACCTTTGGGTGAAGAACAGACTTAGGACCCCCCCCGTCGGCTATTGAAAAGAGAGTTCATCATGTGGTTCCCAGGCAACATGCAGTCTTGAACATGGCAACATCCTTGACACACGATAGTTGGGGGCTGGAAAAATGAGCTTCTGAAAGCAGCGTGCCAGTGGGGTTCGGGAACGCAAGAAGTTCCCCACTGTCTCGGCCATTTTACATGAAGGACAAAATCCTTGACACACGATAGTTGGGGGCTGGAAAAATGAGCTTCTGAAAGCAGCGTGCCAGTGAGATTCGGGAACGCAAGAAATTCCCCACTGTCTCGGCGCATTTTACATGAGGGACAGACGGGGCTCTCCTTTCCCCCCTGTAATCGCAGCTTCGACAGGTTGCTCCGAAGCCAAAAAACGCACGATATTACACGGGCTACTATGGGCGGTGTACCTAGTTAGTGTGTGTCGCAGCGCGGCCTCGAGTCCCGTTTTCAGGTGGATGCTAACCTGTCCCTGGGCCTGGCAGCAGACCTGCGCACCTTCGACACCTCCAAGGAGGTGCTGAACCAGCTTGGCGTTCGGCGCTGGGCTCGGGACGTTCGGACAGATGGCCTCCAAAAGGGTTGCAGACGTTTTGATGAAGCCAAAGGGTGCTTTTGCCTTTGCAAGGTCGGTGAAGCTGTATACCAACAATCCTGAGAAAGTTCGTGCGTTGAGACCGTTGGCACGCGCCATGGCACAGACTTGGTTGGGCATGCAGTCCTCTCGCGGTTTTCTGCTGGTTTGGTTGGATTGGCTTGGCTGAATTGATAGCAGCCGAGGTGAGGTTTGCCCTCTCAAAACCGTGCCCAACAAGCACAATGTGACGTACTTGCGCACAAAGAGGGATAGGCTAAATCACAAAACTATTTTGTCTGAGCTTGTAGCATAAGTCTTCCGTGCCCCAATGGTACACAGTCAGGGTTGGTACACAGTCAGGGTACCATTCGACGGTTGCTGTGACCGACCAGGGGGGGGGGAGCACTTATCTTTTTGCGTATGTTTCTTGAACCCACAGAGGTCAAAGACCCTGTGGGGATGAGTTTCTCCCTTGTGGCTGGCAGAGCCGAAGAAGTGTTTCCGACTGGGACCGGTGGGCCGAATGTGTTGCTGAAACACATTGACATCACCGACACCGCCGTTGACTCTTCAGCTCAAACGGAATGAAACATGCGGAGCCATGAGCCCGAAACGCGAGTATGCAGTCCTGGCAGAGTCTGCATTTATGCAAGGGCGACGGCCACAGCAAGAAGATCGACACGTGAAGATCGCGGACTTGACCAAAGCAGCCAAGGCCTTGAACTTGCCGATTGATCACCTGGAGCAGCCCTGCTCCTTCTTTGCGGTCTACGACGGGCACCGCGGTCCGCTCTGCGCGGACTTCGTGGCCAAGTCTCTCCACACGCGGCTGCTGCAGCACCTCTCGCGTTCCGAGTCCCCCGAGATCGCCGCGTGCATGCGGGCAGCGTGCGAGGAGTTGGATGCGGAGTTCTTGGCGAAGCATCGCACCGCCTGCGACGGGTCAGATGGCTCAAGCAAATACGGTCGTCTGTGCCAAATCTAAATCGCTGTCTGCTAGTCTATTAGCTTGTTCAATCTCTGCAATCTATGCCATCATCCGACTATAGTCTTAATCCGAGTTCGAGGTGCACCGTGGTCATGGCGCTGGTCACCGGCACCTTGCTGTCGCTGGCCTGGCTCGGGGACAGCCGGGCCCTGCTGTGCAGAGGCAGCTCCAGCGGCAGTGCCGTTGCGCTCACAGAGGACCACCGACCCCAGGACGAACTGTTTCAAAGTGACACGTCTCCCATTTCTTTGGGATTTTGAGAACCCTGTTATCTCTTCCGAAAGCTCCAGAGTCCGGGTTTTTGAAGGATCCGTTTTGCTCAGGAAACCTCTCAAGAGGGACATTTCCAGGTGCCAACAGAAGCCGAGCGTGTTCGACGCGCTGGCGGGGTGGTGGTGAACTTTGACGGTGCCAAGAGGGTCACGGGCTGAGAGGGGCCAAGGGCCGACAGTTTGTGTAGCGACAGCACGGCGGTCTGCCTCCTTGAGTTGAACTGAAGATTTCCTGGCCATAGTGGACAGTGACAAAATCACACAGCGCACAGTATTTTCGTTGTATATGATGCATAATATGTATTTTCGTTGTACATCTTATGAAGGAAGCATGAGGCGAGCTCGGGCTCCGAGGTCGCCCACAAGGATTTCGAGGCTCGAAACCGGGAGCTTCGGCGAGCCAAGGCGTGTGCTCAGCAGTTTGACGAGTTCTCTTCGGGGGACTTACATTTTTGTCCCCATCGGAGCTTCAGGTACTGTGTATTGGATTGGGTGGATTTGCAATGGATCTTGAGAATTGGGGAACCCCGACCACTCTCCAAACAAAAGCTTGGGCTCTCGCGAGGCTGTCGGCCTGGGCACGGTGGGAACTAAGCCGGTGGCTTTGGCCGTGAGTCGTGCCATGGGGGACCGCGATTTCAAGGCGAGGAGTCGGCAGTGTTTTAGTTCCGAGTGGTGACGAAGGGGGGGTGGGCCAAGTCATCCCCACACAATTTCGTTTTGGGAGCATGGCCACCTAGATCCCCCTTGCCAGACCAGAACACCAGTTCTTCCATGTCTTTCTGGAAGTATGAACATGGTTAGTGAATCAACTCTGATCGAGCTTCAACTCTCGATTGATTCCCAAGGAGCTCATTGAGCCACTATGTGACCACGACATGAGAGCCCTTTGACCTTGAATTGCCGTTTGAAGCCGGCCACATCCACTTCGAAAAGCTAGTGAGCCGAAAATGAGTGGGGGTGCAGTATAGGCCGACCACCTCATGATTCTGGATGTGTTTGGATGCGGCAACAGTGCGCCTTTGGGTATCCTGGTTGAGATTGGGTGAGCGGACTTCAGCTTGGCCCCAAATGTAATGGTAAGTCCTCTCGGGACCCTGCAAATTGAGCGCTGATTTTTGGCAATCATTTTACACGTTTGCCCTCAAGACAACCTCAGTCCACGATGATCGCCAGGTGCCAGACCAGCTGCTCATTTCCACGCCCAGCGCTTGGGCCTTGTGAAACACTTTGGGCTCCGAAAGATCTGGATCGGATCGAGGTAAGGAGCTTCCAACTGGAGAGCTCCATGAAGTTCATGGCCCTCATGTGCGTCCAGCCCCCAAATGTTGCCTTTTTTCGTGGCAATCTTAAAGGATACGTATCAGTAGTATCATTTTTCCCTTAGTTGGATCTATGTCCACCAACCATTTTAGATATTCCCCACCAAAAACTCATACGCAATTGAACTACATCCGATTTGCGACTCAGGATGGCATCACAGATGTCTTGAGCAACGAGCAGGCCCGGAGCTTGCAGCTTTAAAGCTCTTTGCGGCGTTGAGGGGCTTGCCCCGTGCGATATGCACGTTTGCATCTCTGGTGTGCTAGTCGTTTGTGCGTGCATGTGCGCGAGGTAATCTCTGAGCTGAGCTTCCGCCGGGATAAGGAGCCAAAGGCCAACGCGCGACAAGCCTGCGGCGCGCTGGTACAGCGGGTCCGAGACTCGGAGCCAATTGCAGTCTGTACCGTTGACTTTGGACTGGAATCACGTTGGATGAAAAAGGGGGGTGTTTGCCTCGAAGCTTTTGTCACCTCTAGGAAGCATCCGTGGCTTTGTTTGTCCATAGCACATGTTCCACCAACCTACCGGAATAGTTTGGGTGGAATTGATTCATTTCGAAAGGGTTGGAACAGTTCAAACAAATGCTTTCGCCCACACACAAACGATTGTCATGGTTCTCTTCTAAGTATTGCAATTGGAACCGCAAAACGAAATCCTTACCAAACGAAGGCAGACTTTTGATGGTTTCTTCATAGCCCGCAGGCATACTCGCGGGGAAGCCAAGACAACCTCACCGTGATCATGGTCAGCTTCCAGTGGAAGGAGTTGCGGGCGGTCAGAGTGATCTTTGACGGGGGCTGCCCTCAAACATGTGCCTGGGTGTCTGCAGGACGGCGTGGCCCCCGATGCAGTTGGCTGTGAGGCGGATGAGTTTGCTGAGACCAAACCTTGGGTGTCTGAAACTGCCAGGCGCCGTGCAAGCGCCGCCGATGTTGGGTCCTGATTGCGACATTTGCTCTTCACATTTGCCGCATCACACAGTCTGAGTGGGGAAGCTCATGGCGACCAATCCGTGTGAGGCGAATCTGATGCTGTTGACAGAGCCCAGTCGGAAAAGGCTTCAACTGCAAGAGCTTGGGACTGCATGGGTGGCTGCATGCTTGCCAGACTCCAGCAAAATCAATCAGCAGTTGCAGAAACACGATGCGTTCAACGACTCTACAAAGCGGACCACATAACCCCCACTGCAACTTCTTCTTCGCTTACCAGCTATCTTGCAAGTGTTTCCGGAGCAATTCAAATCTAAAGGATGCAGCTGAAGCTCGAGCCACCAAGCTGAAGTCCTCACAAAGTGAACGTTATGCGTAGCAAAGGCGCCCAGAGATGGATCCATTGAAGCCGATGCCCGCAGTACACAAATCGATGCGGTCAGTCGCCTTCTCGAGGCCATGGCAAACGGCGGGAACTACCGGGGCGAGCCGCGCCCTGCTGAGAGCCAGTGCCAGGGGTGGGTCACGTGCGAGCCGCGAATCGGATTCGAGTGAGTCGCACAGGCCCTCGCGATGCGCTGAGTCAGCAGCCTAGCCTTCGGAGAGGTCAGGTGAGGAGAATGCTGCAGTTTACACATTGCAAGGTGTGGGAATGTCCTCGTGGATGCTTTAGTTCTCTCCTGCGGCCAGTACCCAAGCGAAATGCTCGCTACGCCGAAGCCCAAGAGTTGCTCAGGGCATGACCTGTGCCTCACCTGCGCAGCTAGCGCTTTGCGCCAGACGCGATCCCTGAGTGGTCGCACTGTGCGGGTCCTCGGCCCGCGTCGCTGGGATTTGCGGTGCGTTTGTTTGTCGTGAAGTTTGCGTGTGTTTCTTGCAACTCACCAATTGTTCCATATGCAATGCGAGTAAGATCATTGCGCCCGTTTTTGAGGGTGCCCTTTTTTGGCATGGCTTTAGAGGGAGCTCAAAGCCCGTCCGAGGTGCGGTGCCTCTTGTGCCCCAGCGTCACGGAGCTGTGCGAGGAGGCTGCCACCGGCTCAGAATTGAAGCTTCGGAACTGGGTGTCGTAGACTCGTTAGACCAACAAAATCGTAGGGAACTTGAGGGGCAGAGTGCATGTGCCAAGTGTCCTCAGGCGTCCACGTTGCTGGAGAGCCGACCGCCATGGGCTGAGAGATGCACTTTCCTTGATGTTTTGCTGGTCTCCAAATTGACGCAAAAGAAGTTTTGCACTCGTAATGCCGGCAAGTTTGGACTTTGAAATGCGGTTCGTGTGGGTTTCTCGGGGCCCAACAAGTGCTGGCTTCCTGGCTTCCTTTTCCTTGCTTGGCTTTCCAAAGCTTTCCTTACTCCCAAGAGGCACGATGGCGCGCCGTCGTGGAAGCCGCCAGGTCCGGCAGGCGCGGGGCGAAAGGGTTTCGGGCTCCGTTTAACACCTGGAGCTCTGCTCAGGACCTGGAAACGGTGCTGTACTATATCCGCCACGCATTCCAAATGAACGCACGCGGCCATACCGAGTTGTGACTGGCCCAGACGTGATCGTCTCAGGTGGTGTCTCGCTGCGAGCTCGAAGCTCGCGAGAGGAAAGCCCACACAGCATGGACCGCTGGTCCCCTCTTTCTCTTCCGGCTTCCCCGGCTTCTCCGTCTCCTCCGCTCGTTTCCGTTTCAGGATGGCTCGGCTCCCTCGCGGTCCGGGGCGCCGGTGCGGCAGGTCCAGGCGCGGCGTAAGGAGCGAGCGAGGTGCGATCGCGTTTGGCGCGAGAGGCGATGCCAGCCATCAGCCCAAAGTGGCGAGCAGGGCCTCGACCTCAGTGAAGCGAAGCAGCGGAGGTTGTGCTTTGCTCTTAGGGAGGAAGAGCAGAGCTGGGGCCGAACCGTTCACATCTTCCGGCGCCCTGGCCAACGTCTGTCAAAGTGCTGCGATGGGACGGAAGACTGAGGTGTCCAGATCACCCGGAGGAGCCCGCCACCTACTTCTGCGCTTGCCTCAGCCCGCGGATGTTGGCACCGTGCAATGATTGTGATCTCAGGTGCCACCTGCGAATGCCCATGCATTTGTGCCGCATCTTGACAAAACCCTTGTGACCACGGCACTGTTTGCGTTTTGCAGCTGCCCACGCCTGCTCGCCTGCTGCAATCAGGAATGCGTTGTTCAGAAGAACGGGCGGCATCGCGACCATGAGGCGCCGCAGTTCAGCCAACTCTGCAACCTAGATGCAACTGCGCGTACTCGCTGAAGCGCGCAGGTCATGAGAGTTGTGCGTGCGCACGAAGCTTGTGGCCTAGGTCGTATAGGCGGTCCAAGCGCAGCGGGTTTTGCCGCTCCGAGGTTCTGAAGTCCAGAGCGGGTGCGTTGCTGGACGAAGCGATCTCCCTTGAGGAGTCCTACCAAGCCTCATTTTCCAGTCTTTGCGTTTTGGGGATCACCACAGGACGACTTCGCCATGGTTGGCGACAGGATCGCCTGGCGGCGGAAGGACCTAAGCATGGGGAGTCGTGGGCGTGTCTTGAAAATCGGGGACTCCAAAATGTGGTTGCCTCTCAGTTTGCCCTTGAGACCAAGACAGTTCAACAAAACCCGACAGTCGGCTCACAAGAGACAGAGGCCCCGCAATGCTTCAGGACATCGAGCGTGCTGCGGCCCGGGGCCGCGCCAGTGTGCGCAGCGCCTTTGCGAGGGTCCGGGTCAAAGTGAGCTTCTGCCGGTGGCCCTTCGTGTTCCTTTTCGTTGTTTCATTCGAAGCCGACGAAACCCTGGCGGGCTGGCCCCTATTTCTGACAATGCCTAGAATGCCCAGATACCAAACACAAGCAATTGCCAGCTGACAATACAACTCAGAAGTTGCCAGCAAGGGCTAGAAGGCCAAATTGTTTTGGACATCCTCTTTGACACGGTCGATTTTTGTTTTTTTTCTTCAGGGAAGCGGAAGCTGGCACTCACACCCAGATTATGTTGGTCTCAAAAGGGCCCAAAGATTCACACAACCCCTTGAGGGGACCTGTTTAACAGCTGCTCTAAGAAACGGGGGACTCATTGGCCCACACGAGCGGGTCAGGTCCGCGCCCAGCTCAACGAGCGGGAGGCGGAGCTGCTGGAGCCGCTCCCTCACCTCCGGAATACATCTGGAGATATCTTCACTTCAGAAACGGTGATAATATTGTTAAATACTACATGCTTTCTCTAGCAGTACAGTTGGGCTACATCCGCTGCCCATACATCCCAAGGCCTTGAGCCTATGTACAGACCTGCCTTAGTACAGCTACAGTAGACAGTACATCATTGCCCAGAGGAAAACAACTGCGCTTCGCTTCACACATAGGTTCATCACATCAGGTAATTAGGTATACAGTTGCTCCAAGTTTAACATGGTAGCGGAGCAGTGATCCCTGGTACACGATCCACACACACTACCCAGGGTCCAACACGCACCCACAGGTTCAGGCATACAGCAGAGAACGCAGTTACGCGCCTGGAAAGATCTGGCGGCCTTTCCATACAACACACAAGGAACGGCGGCCCAGGTAGCACCACCACGATTCACAGGAGAATGCAACACATTCGAAGAATGGAAGCACAAGATGACAGCATACCATGGGCTACAAGACCCTTCATACAACAGACTGCTGAGACACTCAGAGCAATCACAACTGCCAGCTACAAACGGCCAACTTGAGACAGCAGCACCTTCACAAGCAGTAGCAGAGCAATGGATGCAACTGAGCAACAACTTACACTACATCTTGGTGAGCACATGCGGTGGACACCGCATCTACAATTTGCAGACAAAACGCGCAAGGTAACAGCTTCGAGACATGGCGGCAACTACACGTGAGATACTCCATACCACTTGGCGCACGAAGCGTTGGGTACCTAACAAGGTTACTCAAACCACAGCTCGATGAACGGAAGATCGAAAAGAGCTTTACAACATGGGCGAATCCTCTCGCCAAGTATGAACAAGACAGCCACACACTACTACCAGACGCAGTCAAAACCGCAATACTGCTCAATGAGACAAAAGGACCACTACAGCAACACCTACAGTTACAAGCAGAATACTACAGAGCAGCATCATCATCCAACAGGCTGCAAGCAATCGCATCACAAGGTGATTCGTGGCCGTGGTATCATCATGATGTTGCTTTTCCCATCACCATGATGCTGCCCGCATCATCACGATGCTGCCCGCATCATCATGATGCTGTCCGCATCATCATGATGCCGTCGAACTCATCAGGACGTCGTCTCTGCTTTTTTCTGCTAGATATGTAGCGCGGAATCGTTTGTGGCCGGTGCATCAGCATGATGCTGTCAACATCACCAGTATGCTGCTGATCTCATCAAAAAACACCATGCAGAGCGGCTGTGCTGTCAACATCATCATGATGCTGTCAACATCAGCATGATGCCGCAGGAGCCATTATGATGCTGCATCATGGTTCGTAGCCGTGGTGTGCTATCTGGGGTCTATGCTGGTGTATTGTATTTTTGTATATAGCATAAATATGCGCGTATGAGCGTGAGCCACAGTCAACATTGGCAAAGCTAGCCGTAATAGCCAGGGACCTAAGCCCACAGAAAGCAGCCTATGTTCAAGGGAAGCATGCTGCTCTAATCGAAAACCGGGTGTCGTGCCCAGCTGAATTGCGACCATCCACGCAGTAGTCTTTGCGCACGGGAGGCTCACTAGATTTCCCACAATTAAGCAATCGCCGTCCATAAAAGGGGGAAGTGTGGTCAACGCACTTGAGGGGGACATGGTCCCAAAACCGCATGGATCCACTAGTTGTCCCATGTCCGTGATTGGTGTTTCCCGGATGGATGTCGCTGAGGTCTTTAGATGCCTACGAGAGCGGATCCCTCTCCAGCCTCGACTCGGGACTGGCGCTCATGAAAGACGAGGGTATGTGATGTAGTTGGCGCAGTCGACAACACCACCACCCATCTTTTTTTTTACTAGAATTTTCAAGGCATTTGTCCTCGCTCTCTGAATCGGGTCCGCGGAGAGAAATGATCAGGACACACGGAGTACGGCACGCGCCTGAACGAGCTCCGCAGGCTTCAGGAAGGGGCGGTTTCCGGGGTGGGTCCTTAGGTGGCTTGTCGGGGAGCGAAAGAAAGACCTTTCGGTTTAGCATGCCAAAGATCATCTCCTTTTCCCCCTTGTCGCCACCCTTGAGGCTTATCCCCCAATCTTGGAGTGAGGGAAAGGAGGTCCTTCTGAAAAATGGTCTAACCATCTGCACAAAGGTTTCCAAAACAAAGGAGAATCTGCGGGCCCGCTGCCGGAACGATGGCGACGCCGTCGAGGCAAGAAAGCTAAACTCAAATCTCCATTTTGGGGCTTCCATGAAATTCCATGTTGGGGAGGAGTTAGACTTAGTGACTTAGTAATTTTGAGGCCTTGAACACCTACTCCGCGGCCAAAGCTGCGATTGCGAGCCTGCGGGAGGCTTTCCGCCAGGCCGATACGTCCGATGTGTCGAAGTGCGATGTTCCCTTTTCCCAGGAGGACTTCAACTCCGCACCGGACGAGTTCGTGGGACTGGCTGGAAGGACTCGATTTCGACAGATGGGTTTGGGGGTTTGGTTTTGAGAGATATGCCAGTGCACGAGCTGAACTTGACCTACACGCTGAAGGGCTTGCAAGCTTGGAAGAGGCCTCTCGCCGCTCGCCTCGCTCGCCTCTCGCCTCTCGGCGCTTGAAAGAGGCTGTGGCGAGCCTCTGCGAGCGCGGCGTGGAGCCTTCCAAGGGCCCAGCGCCTGCAAGGCTGGGACTGCGGGGCTGCGGACTGCGACCCAACTCTGCTCCGGCGAAAGTGTCGCAGGAGCCTCAGATAAGGCCCGGCTGGCACGGCCACGAAACGCCTTAGGCAAATTCGAATTTGAAGCATGCTCTTAATTCAGGGACTGCACTCTGCGGCTGAAGTGTTCGGCCAGTGGTGATGCCAATCATCCACAGAGGCAGCACAGATCCCATGGACCCATTGGGAGCCCAGTGGGAGCCGAGCGGGAGCCCAGTGGAACCCATATGGAAAGGAGAGCTCGGAGCTGCTCAAGGCACGCCCAGCGTCGGAAAAAGCGGTTTGAAGCTCCGTGAGTCACGCTAGGCGACTCATTTCATTTGGTTCACGTTAGGCAAATCAATCGTGAGCTCCACCAGGTGCAAACATCGCAACGTCAGCGGCAAGGCAGTACTCGGGCAAACTTCAAACACCGCACATTCACAGAGACAACCGGCGCTTGAAGCCTTCGGCCCATGCGGTTCTTTGGCTGCACTAGCCCAAGGCAACAATCACGCCCAAAGACACAAGACTCCTTGAGTCCGGAGTTCGACCCAGCTGCGGAGGATGCGGCGATTGCCGGGGCCGTTGCTCGCCTTTACCTATGCCGGGAGCTTAGAGCTCGAGTTTGGATCGCTGTTTCGTTGTCAGTTTCCAAATGAGCCAAGAATGTCGGCTTTTGGGCTCCTTTCCGTTTCTTGGTGAAGAAGTGGACACTCCGAGGTTGGCACAGACCCGGTCCGCCTCGAGGAGCTCAGTGACTCAGTGGGCACTCCCGCCTGAGAAGCTTCATTTTCAGGGCCGGCCGAAGTGGCTCAAGCCATCACAGCACTTGGACATGAACTCGGACTCGCGTTTTGTCGATTGGAAGGAATCAAGGGCTTCACCAACGGACCCTTAGAACTGACCGATGGTGTGATGGGACATCACAGGATAGCATGTCTGCGAAACATAGACTTGGAAACAGACTTTGACTTTGGAACGCACATATTCTGTCTTGCTGGGGAGTCACAGAGCCATGGTTTGAACAACTTGCAAGTGGTTGAGGACACTGTGGGATAGGCGGTCAATGCGGTGCGTTGCTCGCGCATGTCAGGATGATGGGACTTGGAGGTGGCGTTGGAGGCAGAGGATTTCGACACGCTCTCCATAGCGAAGTGGAAACCAATCCGAACTACGTGGAGCCGGCGGCAGAAGGCGGCACGGAGAGTCGAACACAGCGAGGCCGAGAGGAGTAACAAGAAATCGAGGTGCGCCTGGCGGCGATGTGACTCTGGAAGCCTGGGCCAGCGTGCTGACCTTCGCTAAGTTGGTTTCAGGGAGCTTCGTTGCCCCTATTTTGCATCGGAAACACAAGCTCAACTCATTGCCAAACTTGCCCGAGCTGGTTGCTTTCACAGTGCCTCGCGAGGCCCAGCTTTCGGGGTGAGGCCTTGTGGCCGACGCAGATCGCCCTGCCGCGGCAGAGCGCCTTGGAATCATCGGAGAGAATAATACCCGACCCAGGGTGACCCTTTTTTGAGGATAGCAACCTTGTTGGGGGTGTGTTGCAAGGGAAACGAAAGGGCAACCAAAGCTCATCCTAGGAGTTCTCTCTCTCTCTTGGAGACAAACCATGCAGAAATCGAGTTGCTGCCTTCTCAAGCCAAATTCCTGACCTGGTTTCTGCCGGTCCGCTGATTGTGTGACCACAGACAACGATGCCTGGGATTCGAGGCCAGATACGAGTTCTGGAAGCTTGGAGCCGGGCTCAGTACCCACTTGTGACACGTTAGACAAAACGCAGCGAGGTTTGGCCATCCGTCGGACCCACGCCGGCGAGTGGATGTGACACAGCGGGTGATGGCGCTTCTGGATGGTCACGGCCATTTGGGGTCAGGGCGACTTGGACAGCAGAGACTATTTGATGGTTGCTTGCGGACGCTTCCGGATCGGCTTGAGGTTGGGCAATTTGGTCCGCGAGGGCTGCTACCGCTCGGCCTCCACAGAGTTTGGAAGCGCCTGATGTTTGCTACAAGAGAAAGAAAGAGAAAGATAGAGCGAGAGAGAGAGAGGGAGAGAGAGAGACAGAGAGATATGTTCGGAGCCCTGGATGCAAAAACGATGCCGAGGTGGCACTGAGCTGTGCCTTCCAGCAACCACCGGGTTCTGGGGCCAGGACGTCTCCAAAGCTTGTGCTGAGATCGCCAGAATGGAAGCCTACAATCCCGCCGCAGGATCCTGCGCCCTTTGTGTGGAAGAAGTTGGTGGTTCGGTACCGGCACATCTGAACCTGCCAGCGAACGCGGCAAACCGAAATAAGAGTGCAAGTGGACTTGGTTTCGCGTCAAGCATTTGGCTCTTACTGCGCTTGTGCAGGAGAGCGCCCACTACGCAGCGGCCTCAGCGGTTCCTAGGGCATCGCGCGCCTGGCGCGCGACGCGAGGTGCCTCCTCCACGCTTCAAGGGCCGCTTCAGCAGCCTGCCGGCTCGGGCTCCGCCGGACGAGGCGAAATGGCCAAGACGGAAAGAAAGTGAAGAAAGTGCACGGGTTTTGGGCTCTCACGTCGCATCTCGAGGCTGGTCGGCTCGCCTGGGCCGTGCAGCGCCTGGAGGCACTCAGACAGACTCAGTGCTGGGGGATGGGCAGTTGGGTAGGTGGAGAAGGTGCGAGGCGTGCTGAAGAGATGGCCACATGGGGCTACCCTCATTGATGATGAGGGCCGCGGCCTAAGGGCGGTCCTGAGACAAATAAGAAGGAGAGAGACACAGAAAGCAAACAAGCAAACTGCGGGATTTTGCCACACTGGTTTTCTGTGGTTCTCGCCTCAGTAGGCTGAGTTGACCTTCCTGGCTGAGACAACACGCTCTTCCACTTGGCAGCATCTCAGACGGGTCGCTGCGCAGCACAGCCGGAAGCGGCGAAAGAGGCTGGCTGCCTCTCAAACTCATGACAGCATTGAGAAGTCATGCATATTGATTCGGTGCATTGGCTCAGATCAAGTTTGTCAGCATGGCATGCTTCACTCCACGATCAGCTTGCTTTGTCCCTTCCAGCAGACTTGGAATGTCGGCCAAGGCACCATTTGAGATTGGTTTCCAAGCATGTTGGCCCCACCAAAAAAGCACGGTCTCCGGAATTAGACTTGTCTGGGCGCCATGGCGTGTGGGGTTCCGCGACTTCAGCCATGGCAGCCAACGTGGACTGCCTTGCCGTCTCGAGGATTCAGGAGTGCGAGGCCACATGGGCCACATGGGCATCATTCTCCGGGCGGATTGGATGCACGCCGGTGCCTTGAGATGGGTTCGCTTGCATTGCTTGCCATTGTGTTCCAAGGTGGGGTGCTTGCGCTTGCGCTTTGCCTGAAGCGACGGTTAGCTTCCCGCCGGCCTCCAAGGGATCTGGGCCAAAGTTAGCTCAGCTTTCGAGCCGAGGAACCATCGGCCACTGTGCGCCGGAGCTGATTGAAGGATGGGTCGTGAAGTACCGGCTGCCACTCCGCATCGATGGATGTACTTATCTTGCTTTGAAACCAGATATAAGTGTTTTTCCTAATCTTCGGTCTCGCCCCCCAAAATGGTTTGCCTTGGAACATAGGTGCCTTCAGGACCTTCGCATCCAAAATGAATCGGTGCGGCCGAGGCCGGAGCCCAAGGCGACGGCGCTGGGCTTGGCAGTGGTGGATGCAACGGGGCGCCTGCAGCCGCTCTGCACCTGGGAGGATCGGTTTTTCAAATCGCCCGCGATCTGGTTTGGATCGGATAGACTCTCAGCAGTGTGTCTGTGGATCTGTGTGTTTTTAGGGAAACACACTGGTGACATAATCCTCACCTAAGTGATGTCTACCAAAGGGCTCCCAAAATAGAATTGCGTACCATGGGTGTTTCTCAAATCCGGGACCCCAGGCGGTTGGTTTCCCTCCAAAACCATACCCTTTCGATTTCCTTTCCTTCCTTTCTTTTCCTTCTCTTCACTTCTTCCCTGTCCTTCTTCTTCCTTGCCTTTCCCTCCCTTTTCTTCCCTTGCCACTTCCTCTTCCCTGTCCTTCTCCTTCATGATACTTGTTTAGTTTTCTTGATCGACCTGCGATCTGCCGGCCCACCGAGCTAAGCGACTCCGCACTGCGTTTCTCTTCTCAACAGTTTCAAGCCACGTGAGCCAACACAAACGCCCAAAAAGCTAGACATCTAGAGAGGGAGATGTCCCAGACCAGAATTGAAGCCGCCTTGGTAGTTTATTTGGGTGACTTTTTTGGTGCCTTTGGTTTGGGCTAAACTCATCTGCGGCTTTGCTCATTGCGCAGTATTCTCCCATTTTTTGAGCGCTTTGCGTCCTGTGCGCTTTGGGAACTTCATACATAGATGTTTGATTGCAGTACTTGAAGCATCTCCGTGGAATGCTCAGGGGAAATCGCCTCGGTTTCAGGAAAATGGGGCATTGAGGGAAGCTGACGTCAAATGCGAAGATCTCAGCCAGCCCTTAGATCCGCTGTGGATCACGTGGCGTACCCCTTGGCTTCTCAGATTGCAACGCACGCAACCTTTCGCGGCCGTGCGCAAGCTTGTCTCTAAGTTCTCTGTGGCCTTCAGAGTGCGCCGCTCGCCGTGCTTAGGATGGTGTTTTCAATTTGTAGCAAATGTGGCAAAATGTAGGCGTTCGTGTGCATAATCTGCCCATGCGCATGAGCGCGCTAGCATGCCTGCGCATGTGCTTGTGCGAGCATGAGTGCGGGTTGGTGAGTGGGTTAAAGTTTGTTAAACTCGTCATGTTGAAGCTTGCCGGGTCAGGAAGCGCCTGGTGTGAGTTTTGACGGATTGTTGCGCAATGTTTTGCAGAGCCATTGCTGGGTTATGACAATGCGATCTATCATCTTTTCTTCAGGCAGCACTTGCCTGTGCGCCAGGAGGGCGAGCGCACCTTTGTGGTGGATGCGCCTCGTTGGGAATTCAGCACAAGACTTGATGTGCCACAGCAGATGTGAGGAAGATGCTGAAGCCATCGATCCGGAAGACAGAGTAGCGTGCCTCGGCGGACAGGGTGGCACAGTGACATCTTCACAGTGACGCTTGTGCTTAGGCATATTCTGGAGATAGAATACAGCCACAGGCAGATGCCTCGGCCGGTAAATCCTCACGGTGAAGAGGTGGAGGACTGGCAGTTGATGTTTCGCTTGCTAGTTTCGGCTCAGATGGGAGGACACATACTATGTGGACGACGATGAAGATCTGGGCGATGTAGAGATTGTTGTGCGATCTGAAGTTGAACCCTCTGCGGTTTGAGTTGCTATTCCGGACATGCATCTCTGCGATTGCATCACTATGCAGGGAAGCGTGCCAACCGCTTGCAATCTCACTGATCGACATTGATCGACGCAACCCTTGCTGCAAATAGTAGCTGGGGTAGCATGATGCGTAACGGGGGCGAGAAAGCGCCAGCAAAAGACGCCACGTCAGAATCAGCGGCCTTGTTGGCCCTCTTGCGGCTAAGAAAAGGAAAGGCCCAAGGCCAGTCCTGCGTTCACTTTGATGTGAGTGCCCCAAACCCGCAGGTAGCTTCATCAGGGCAATACAAACCTGGAGCGTGCAGAGCCAAAGGTGAACGGGTGTTGGACCCTCATGTGTCGCAGGTGGTCTCGATGCTCCTGCAGAGCGGCTGGGAAGTGGTGGACGGTGTGGTTTCAGACGTCTAAGGTCTCAACCGGTTTCACTGCAACACATGCTGGCTTGTGAAAGCTGGAGCCCTCCAGCATTGGCTGATCCGTTGGCTTTCCTGAAGCCTGGATTTCCCAAAGGGCCGTATGGTCAGCAGAAAAAGAAACTGCAAAGAAAATGGTTGGGTTTCTTTCGATTGCTTTTCAAAGGGAAATCGAAAGGAAAGCCACCATTCTTTGGGTCCACAAGGGGACACACACAACACAACGGAACACAACACAATAACACAGCACAACAACACAACACAGCGCAAGGCAACGCGACACAACGCAATCAAACGCAATGTAACGGAACGCAGTACAACACATCACAACGCAACAAAACAGAACACAACGCAACGCAACGCCTTGCAAGCAACGCAACGCAACGCAACGCAACGCAACGCAACGCAACGCAACGCAACGCAACGCAACGCAACGCAACGCAGCGCAGCGCAACGCAACGCAACGCAACGCAACGCAACGCAACGCAACGCAACGCAACGCAACGCAGCGCAACGCAACGCAACGCAACGCAACGCAACGCCGCGCCGCGCACGCAACGTAACACAACACAACACAACGTAACGAAACACAACGCAACGACAGGGAAAGCAACACAACACAACACAACACAACGCCACGCAAGCGACACAACGCAGCACAACGCAACGCAACACAACGAAACGCAACGCAACAGCACGCAAACAAGGCAACGCAACACAACCCAACACAACGCAGAACAACGCAACGGCACACAACAACACGCCACACCACACCCACTCACCCACTGGTTTGAATGTGTCCAACCTTGCAGGACCAGAAGAACCGCTGGGGCGAACGCGCCGAGGGGGTGGCTGCACGCCTGGACCCCCGAGGCAGTTCGAAAAAACATGGGCTCCAAGGTTGTTTTTCAGGAAAGCACAAGTAATACAGTAACCCAAGCGGAGTGACAGGAGCCGCTGAGCAGCTTATGCGCTCGAGGCGGGAGACCGAGAGAGGGTCCTGGAAATGCTCCAAAACATCCAAAATCAGAGTTGGTGGACACCAAGGAATCAGCAACGTGGACCCCCCTGGATGATTTGGGTTGTCGCAAAGGCAGCCACTTGGTTTGTTCTTTGGGACCCCAACCTCATGCGCTCCCTTTCTGCGCGGGATTTAGGACTCCCAGACTGAAATGTAAACATGTTGTTTTTGAGGTACCGTCTTGTTGTGGTTTTAAAGCAAATCCAAAAGGACAACCACCATTCTCGGAATACCAAAAAAACACCCATATGGGTGTGTTTGCCTTTGAGGCACCTTTTTCTTTGGGTTGCTCGATGCGAAAGGCAAGACACCCATTCTGAGGTTTCGCCAGTTGGGCGACGTTGGCCCTACCAGGCTTACATAAACCTTTATTTCAGTTTGGTAGATCCAAGCATTAATTCGTTGCTCGTTGATGTGAACGACGGCCAATATTCATCGCAATGGCAGTCATTAGGGCGGTAGCTCATGTGAGGTTTCATCAAAACATCCAGTGGTTTGGGGTCTATTTTGTTGGGCCACGCACGACACACACACCAAGGGACTGAGAAGCTCACCGATTATTCCACATCCCATATGTTGATCGTGACTCATATCAACACGTTAGCACTTGAGCACCCAAAGCCCCCGTTCAAGGGGACTCCTTTTCCCTTGATTCAGGGATTGCAGCAAAGCCCACTTCAAAGTCCGTGGAAGAACGAACAGGAGTAGCGCGTTGTTTTTCGAGGGTATCCTTTTTGGGATCCGGGCTCCTTTTTGGGACCCAAGGCGAAACCGTCTTAGCCCAATTTTCCGGACACCTTTGTCACATCAGGTTGGCTGAAATGGAAACCGAGAAGGAAACCAGTATTTTGACGCATGCCTCAAGTGGGGGGAAAGCTCCAAAAATGGGTGTCAATTTGGTTACCCGAAAAATGAGCCAAATGGTTCCCTCCAAAAACCGGCACCCACATACCCATTTTGGGGGGGTGTTTCCGTCTCTTATGTTTCCATCTCTTTGAGCGCCGGCCGCCTCAGGTCCAGTGGCTGCGCAGAGGCATTGAGGTCGCAGAAGCCGCTGCCGCTGCTGGGGGAAATGCGGGGGCCCGACGTGTCGCATCGGTCGGAAGTGGGCGTTTTCCTTTTGGTCTCCCTTCAAGACACCGGAAGTGGTTCTTGGGTGTGCCCTTAAGAGTTGGATTGCTAAGAGAGGCCAATGGACACCGCAAACATGCTTGTCGCGGACATAGAACCAGATGCCAAGATGATTCGCTCGAAGGGTTTGCCGAGGTCGCCAAAGCCGTGGCAGTGGCAGTACCCCGTCCAGGTTCAGATTCTGATCGTCTTTTCGGTGAGGAGCATGAACGCAGGATGAGCAGCGAAGAAGCTACATGGGGGATGGGACCTTAGCACTGTGTACACCTTACACCGGTGTCAGACTACCGCTGAAAGGTGATCTTTCGCGCCTTTCCGGAAGAGACATGCACGAAGTGGCTGCACACCTTGGTATCAGAGGCAAGCTGGCAATTGGTCAGCACTTTGAAATCCCCGCAAAACCCGGCCCCATTGCTGTTGGTGGAATGGCGTTGCAGGGCCACTGGATCCAAATTCCGGGCGTGCCCAGAAGAGTGATTTGGTACGTGGACGAGGACTGGGTGTTTGAGCTCATTGCAAGGACTGCCTTTTTGCGCATTTTGGTTCTGGCGGGTCCAGGACTTTGCAGATGTGCCGTACAGGTATTCAGGATTGGAGCCTGCACCTCAGCTCTGATTTCAGCCTGCCACAGGCGGCAGGCCTGCTTTGAGAGTTCCACCAAAGCGAAACCGCTGGTCTGTCCCAAAGAAATCTCCTAAACTCTGCCTTCGGAAAGCAAAATTGGTCCGCTTTCGTTCCTTGATTTCCCTTTTGGCTTCCCTTCGACACCTACCAAACAGGTTTGAGGCCACGCCGTACCCGGACTTCATGCTGGAGATCCGGGAGGATGGGAAGCGAACCATCCAAGAACGGGTCCTTCGGAATTTCTGCGGAACCCGGACATGCTTTCGTTTTCTTTGTGAGAGAAAACCCAAAATCCCTTCTGTTCATTCGCCTTAAGTCTTGGTGTTAGGAGCTGTGCAAGCTCTGCGGCATCCCAGAGGCCAGCGGTTTTGCTTCCGGTCTCCTGCAGAAACCGGTTTCCCTGTCCTTTCAAGAGGTTCCGATAAAGAAAATAATGCTTGCTTTGGCTTTCCTTGGAATTACTTCATCTTCTTGCCTGCTGGTTTTCCTGCCCGTTTCCGATGTTTCACACCCCTGCAAGGATTGACATGCGGGATTGCATTCGCAGCTTGCAGGGTGAATATCCCAACTCCTGCAACGTCAACATCTACGACGATCAGAGTCAGGAGGCACCAAATGACAAGTTGTTCACAAACGAGCCGAGAAAAGTCGAGGTTGGCTGGCACTCGGATGACGAGGTTCTCTTTCAGGGCCTTGCGGGCGACACACGGAGCCCGTGCAGTCGCAGTGTTGCGGAGTTTCGTTTGGCAATGTTTCATAGGTTTGGGCTAGTTTCATAGTTTTCCTGTTCTGCTTTGTGCACGGAATTCCAGGCTTCCCCCATGCTCTCAATGCTTTCTCAATTGCTTTTGGGACCATTTCACAGGAGAAAACCGTTGGTTGAAGCCACGAGTAATGGATAACTTGAGCTTGGAATCGATGGAACACTGGGAAAGCATTGGCCATCGGAGTGGGAAAGCCTTCGGGAACCAAGGAGAAGCCAGAAAACCAATGGAACACCATCAGATCAGGAAACTGGGAAAATGGAAAGCCATTGCAAATCCTTTGAAGCCAAAGGTCTGGAGAAATGGCAACTCGAAAAGACACTGGGAAGGCATTGAATTGGTTGAGACACCATTCGAGGCTCGAGACACCATTCCAAACCCTTGCGAGGACATGGGAAGCACATTGGATAACCATCAAGAACCCATGCACATGCGCAGTGATCTGAGGCAAACAACCGCAGGGTGCAGTATATGCCGTGATTGTGCTATGTACGTATCATTCTTGGAGGGGTGAGGAACACCCCCAGTCTGTCGAATCTATGCCTGGACATTGCCAAGGCACACGCATGGAAAGAGTTAACCCAGGGAAACTGAAGGAACACTGGATCTAAAGAATGCATGTAATGCATATGCATGGGAAAACCGAAACCGCAAGCATTCCGAAACCGCAAGCATTCCGAAACCGCAAGCATACCTTTGGGAAACCATTGGAGCCACGAGGAACAGTTTGGAAAGCATCGATGGACAACTATGTTGGAAAGTCTCGAACGCCAGGATCCTGTCCCTGTCGCTTGGAGCGTCTCGGGATTTTTGCTGGAGGTTGCAAGGCACCTTGGAGATGCTGGGCACCGTGCCACTGGGCGACGGGGACGTGGCAACCATGGAAGGCCTGGCTTGAAAAACGGGGTCGCTGGTTCTCCATTCTCCTTGATCAGGTAGAGCTATCAGTTGGTGGTTTGGATCGGTGGGGCTCGTGTAAGGGGTAAATGGGAAAGCAGCCCAAACCTCCAAACCACCAATCCGCACCACCAATTGGAGGGAAGAGTGCGTACAAGGGTTGGAAAAGGGTGCCAAGTTTCCAAAATCGGAAGGATCTAAATTTTGGGAGGACTTTTCCAGAAGCACTACAAGCACTGTGTCGCAGCCCTGAGCTCCAACATGGAGACATTTGGAGACCGGCAAGTAGCGATGTAAACAGTGCTCAGGTCCCGCCCAGCGACGAGCCCTGTGGAAAGCGCATCAACTTGACCTTCCGCTGGATCAAGGTGAAGGACGGCTTAGCCCGGCTTAGCGGGGCATTCCACGCGGTGGACTTTCGAATTGTGCGCGTATCAATGCAGGCTCACGCCGTGGATGCAGACGTTCAGGCAGCGGAGTGAGCTGAGCTTCGGTGAAAAAGAGTGGGGATTCAATGGGAAGGCCTGAGCAAACTTAGCAAAAGTCGACGTCAGGGACCCCGCTGTGTTGCAGCGGACTCGAGTGCGCGCCTGAAGGCTCAAGCAGCCAAGGTCTCTCCACTTCGGGAGACCAACACCTGTACAGATAGGCTGACTGGGTGAGTATCAGTTTAAGTTATCAAGTTGAGCCGAGTCACTGACAGGCGGAACTGTTCTCAATGTTCGTTGATGGAGCAGCATCAGAGCAGCACACGTTGCGGTCCGTGGTCCGTGTTTTTTTTTTTTTTTTCCGCGGAGTCCGAACCCAGAATCTTCACTGTAGCTCATTCTGCGGCCGTGCGTTGCAAAGGCCTGGGCCCAATTCGACCGTCGGGCCTTCCAACCCACCGTTGAGCAATTTCAAACCAGCCCTGGGCCCTGGGCTGTCGTTACTTTTTCTTTCTTCCGCGTGAAGCGGGTTTGTCGACAGGCGACGGCCTGTACTCATACCTGGACTGTTTCAAACATTTGGGCCGCTGTCTTGCGCCGGGCGCTAAGGAAAAGCTAGCAACTGGGAAAGCAGTTTTGCTTCTGGACCACTTGCAACGAAGTTTACCCTATCTCTCACGCCGCGTGAGAGTTGCGTGTGAACAGGCCAAATCCCCAGGAACCCTTACTGGGACAAAGGGTTGACTCAAACCCATTTGGCACAAGCGAACCTAGGCCAGTGGCCCACCGCTATTTCCATCACGGCTGTTTCACGGTATGGTCCCGCGCTCAGTGTGGCCTTGCGCAGGTCTGAGGCAAAGCTCTGGGCTTTTTCCATGGCCGTTGGGGGTATCCTCAGAACATCAGACATATTTGCGCGAGGGTTACCGAGGGACGCCTTGATTTAAGGATCTTGCAAGAGTAGGGAACAAGGACCAAGCGACCTTGGATGGCGAATGGAATCCAGGAGTCCCACCCCGATTTGGGAAACTCATCAAAGCTGACATCTCAACCTGATGCTGGCGAACCAAGCTTCCACTGTGTCCGAGTCGCTGCCCCTGGTGGGTGTGACCGGCATCGATGCCTGCGCGAGCCCCAGAGATCTCATTTCAAGACGTTTGTTTCTTGAATGGTTTTTTGATTGTCTGAAGCAAGACCCTGACTGAAAGCGGGGTTTCCCGGCTCGAGCAATAGCGCCGAGGCGGAACCCCGGCAGGCCTAGCCCTGACTCGCCAGGAGTCCGCAGCCGGACTCAGCGTCCTGTCGGGTTTGGACTTGCTCACTCAAAAAGAGGGCACCAGTTTTGCGGTTTGAGCGCAGGCAAAGAAGCAAAACGGGAGTTTTTCCATGAGCAAAGCTCAGCTCAATCTTTTTGGGTAGGAGCTGTCCGCTTGTTCGGGGCCCTGCTCTGGCGCGCTAGCTCTGCGTCGGGCGCCGGCCTCGAAGGCCTCGAAGGCAAACCGCGACCGGCCGTGCGATGTGCGACGTGCGATGCTCCGCGCCTCCGCGCCTCCGCGATGCTCCGTGCCTTCGCGAAGCCCAGGTGACGACGCTGTTGCAAGGCGCCAGGCGAGCAGACGCACAAGGCGCGCGGCGTGGCGTGGCGCGGCGTGGCGGCGTGAGTTTCTGACGTGCACTGTCAATTGTCCAGGTGAAACTCAGCAGGCACAAGAGCTTTACTCAGAAGCGCGGGCCAGAGTTTCTCAACGCACTCATGGAGCTTGCAAGTTTTCGCCCTTGGGTCTCAGGGTCATCAATTTGCTGGATATTCTGAGACAGTTATGACCGCAGCTTCCAGACTCCACATGGGATCCCTCTCTCTCTCTCTCTCTCTCTCCTCTCTCTCCTCTCTCTCCTCTCTCTCCTCTCTCTCCTCTCTCTCCTCTCTCTCCTCTCTCTCCTCTCTCTCCTCTCTCTCCTCTCTCTCCTCTCTTTCCTCTCTCCTCTCTCTCCTCTCTCTCCTCTCTCTCCTCTCTCTCCTCTCTCTCCTCTCTCTCCTCTCTCTCTCTCTCTCTCTCTCTCTCTTTCTTTCTTTCGCTTCTCTCTCTCTCCCTCTCTCCAAATTAGGCCCTAAAGGTGGTCAGTACCCATTGGCAATAGCTCGCACTTGGAAGCTAAATTGAAACCGAAACCAAGACGGGCTGACTTGCAAACTCGGACAGTCTGTGTTATTTGGAAACTAACATGGTCTGATTCGGAAACTGCCCAAAAGCACTTTTTGTGTTGGCCCACACCCACCAGTTTCTCGGAATTTTTCAGTTACTGAATCGCAGTTCTGAATCGGGTCTTTTGAGGTTAGTTCCTGAATTCGAGGTCAAGAGGGCACCAACCGCTCAACCAGGTGAGTACAGGTTGCGGTTCCGCCCGCAAGCTTCGGCCCGAGGTCCTGAAGGTGCGCGCTGGCCCTCCCCAGCGAGGGCAATGCGGCATGCCCTCGCCCGCCCGGCTCGAGCGAAGGTAGCGAACATGTCTGGGGAATTCATGCAGAAACAAGGTGTCGTTGTTCCTCCCGTCGGATCTGAGAACTGTCAGAGCACGTTTCCCTTGCTGGGGGGAGAAATCTCCAAGTTGAGACGCACATGGCACGAGAAGGCTGAATGACAGCGTGCTGGTGCACATCTACAAGGAAACTTCAGGAATCCGATCACCATTTCAGCCGACGGGTTCTCTAGGGCTTCGTTGGAATTGGAGTGGTTTCTGGGCTCTGCTAGATGTTCCGCTGCGATGGGCGGTGCGGCAAGGCAAGGCGTCAACGCGGCAAGGCCAGCCTTTTCCGAGGTCTGCCGGCAGCATGTGTTCAAGCCTGTCCTTTCCCGTCGCCCGTTTTGGCTCACTGGGACGAGAATTGGTCGCAGAAGTGTGCGAACAAGAACGGAACGCCAAACACTTTGCCATCAAAAAAGCACGTGGTGTTAGCACCGAGCCTGAGCAAACCCCAGCATCACCAAGAAGGGTCGATAGACTGGACATTGTGGCCACATTGAACGGAGCTTTGGTTGCTCAGCCAATGTGCTGGATTCTTAGCTGACTTGGATCCCTAGGTGTCCTTCCATCAGGATTCCCTCCCATCACAGGATTCCCCATGATCCCTAGTGGTGACCCCTCCATGTTTCAGGGGAGATTGTTCCCGCTGTTTTCTTTTTAGTGGTTTGGGAATGAGGTTTGGGCAACTTAACAGATGAGAAGCAGTCATACTCCTTCTCATCTCTTTCCTCGTAAGGCAGCCTCAGGGTATATAGGGCTGTTCGATTGATTGCTTAGGTCTGTTCTTGGGCAGGTTGTCCAAAGGAACAAAGGAGAAGCCACATCCATTGCTATAGTGATCCTTTGATCGACCTGCACTGCTTGATGTAGCCATCGGCGCTGACAGCAATTTATTTTCTGGGCCTGCGGCCTCTAGCCGGCTACGCCTCTTTGAAGTTATACCATGTCATGTCATGTTTTTTGTATGAGAAACGTGTGCTATGATATGGCTGGTTAGGTTATGCATGTTGCCCACCCCAACCCCAGATGATGTCGGGGATGCCAGCTTTCTGGGCCCCAGCCGGGCCCCAACCCAGAAGGCTGACATGGGGTCGCGCGCGCGCGCCAGAGGCCCCAGAAAGAGCAGCCCAAAAAGAGCAGCCCGCAAGCCAGCCCGGAAACGCAAATGCAACAAAACACTGTAAATAGCAGCGTTTTGTGGCTGGGGTCGCGCGCGCGCGCCAGAAGGCCCGAAAACCAACGGGAAAAACAGCGAGGACCGCGCAGCGCGCGAGCCAGCTGCAAAACGGACAGAACAACAGCCCACCGCTCAGCACAGCAGTTTTTGACAGGATTTTCAGCGTTTTGTAGAGCGAGGACCCAGCATCGCCGGCATGCCCGGCAGCGCTTGGCGCCAAAATGCGCGAAAATGAGCCTCGCTTATATCCCTCCGAGACCGATTCTAAAAAGCAGTGCTGTTGGAAGGAAGTCTTGATGATGCAGTCCAAGCCCCGCTGAAGCATCACCCAGGCCCAACCCCAGACCCTGATGATGCCACCTGGCCTAAACCCTGCCTTTACGCGATGATTTGCGAGGGTTTCCCGCAAGCAAGCACAACCGCAAGCCCGAGCTGGTGATGCAGAGGTGCGGATTTACGCAGCGCGTCGCGACCAAGTGGCGAGGGGCGGCGGCCCCAGGGTGCAGCCCCTATAGCTCAAGCTAGCAGGCGAATTGCTTAGCGGCGACAGGCTGCCGCCTTGTGCCGCCGCCCCCGGCTTGCTTATAACAGTTATGACTACGTGTTTGTTGTCGGGTTTCACGGCACACTTAAAGCATATATGACAAAGAAGAGCACCACGATAATGATCATGCTTTTGATGATGCAAACTATTACCCAACATTAGGGATGCTGATATTTATTGCTATGCGTTCGCATTGTCGCCAGCAGTCATGATGATAGCGGTTACTTTGCATGTTTTTGACGACGTATTCCCAGCATCTCAAACAAGCTACCGCAGGATTAACTCGCATGATGATGAGCACCTTGTTGGATTTTAAAGAAGTCCCCCCGGTGTGTGGAAACTTGGGCAGGAAAACCATGTTGGGGGCACTTTTTTGTTCGCAAGACTTCGTTGTATTGCAGTGGATGCAAAGCGTGGACTTTGTGTCCTGTTAGCGCCGGGATGCAATCAGACGGTGATGATGATGATGATGATGATGATGATGATGATGATGATGATGATGATGATGATGATGATGAACTATGCGCAGTGATGCTGATAATCATCACTATGCATCCGCAGCATCGCCAGCAGTCATGAAATCCTAACTTTGCCATGATGATGATGATGGTGGTGATGAGGATGATGATGATCTCACCACTACGCATCCCCAGCATCACCAGCAGTTATCGCGACGACATGCTAATGATAATCATCACTATGCATCCCAGCATGATATGCAAACTTGAAACGTATATGAAACAGAATAATGATGATCCGGATGCTGCGAACCATCACCCAGACGAATACAAACCCTTCCCATGCGCCTCCCCTTTCTCCCGGATACTTCGCATGCTTGATGGCGTTCCCTAAGCCCAGGGCAGTGGGTCCCTTGGCTCCTGGCAAGCCTGAAGGGGCCTAGCGAAAAGGGATGTGGGGGGGGAGAGGCGCTCGGGAGCCTGAGTCTCAAAAGGGTAGATTGTGCCTGGAGGGGCAGGTCAAAGTCAAAGCCAATCCTATGTACTGTATTTGCCTTCGACTTTTCGTTCTCCGTAGGCTTCCCCATGTGATGAGTTCATGGGAGCTTAAAGGACAACCAGGAAAGAAGTTTGGAACTGCATCAACTGTTGTTTCATGCATTTGACATATCGAACCTGACCTCTGAAGTCCGTGTCAACACGAAACATCACGGCCGTTTTTGTGAGCTTGCGTGGTTTAAGAAGTTTCGGGGTGTGTCTGAGCGACGTTTGTACTGCCCACCAGCGAATGTCTCTCGCCAGTGGCATGATTCCACAGAAACATGCCGACACCTTTGCATTGATCCTAGCCGGTAGTCTTTGTAGATGTCATGGCTGAGCCATCAGCTAATCCCCTGGAATGGGCTACGAATGCCGATGCAGCGAAGCATTTGTTCTGCTCTGAGCCGAACATTTGGGTGTTTGACAACCTCCTCTCGGAAAGGTTTCTCAACCGCATTGACCACGCGTTTGATGAAGAGACTGCATTCTTCGATCAGCCTGAAGGAGGAAAGACCCGGCGTGCGCGCTGCGCCCAGATTGAGATAGATGCAGTCACTGCGGAGCTGGTGGATGTGATCAGGACATTGACTGGCATCAGACAAGTGGAAGAGTGCCGTACGTTCATGATCGCAGACGTGTGGGGACAAGATCAGGATCCTCACATTGATCACATCAGCCTGAAAGATCTCGCAAATCGCTACGACGAGCTCAATTTCCTTGATTTGTGCAAGCAAAGCAGATCTCAGTACAATCCTGACAAGATTGTGCCCACATTCTCCATTGTGGTCTACTTCAATGATGTTGGGGGCATTTGCTTTCCCTTGTCACCAACGAAGGAGATCATTCCAAGCAGGAGAGGAAGGATTGTGATGTTTCAAAATTTTGATGACGCTCAGCGGCCTGTGAGCAATCAGATGTGCAAGCACTATGGCGTTTACTTTCAGGACATGCCCAGGCGACTCATGACCATGGGTATCCTAGCCAATGAGACGCCAGGTATGGATATCAGATGTTCGCTCACAGACGGCTTGATCTACTGTGCTGGTGTGCGTGATGAAGGCATTCGACATGATTGGCTGGATCCCCACATGAGCTCTGGTTCACCATCTCCCCCTCCAAAGCCCAAGGCGGACAAGGTCTTTACTTTGGATGCGTTTCCTGACGGTGAGGACTGGATTGTTGGAGTTTTTTCCATGGCTGGGGATGAAGTATGTTCCGTGCAAGCTGGGAGAAGCGACACCATCGGATTCCTTCGCAAAGAGATCCAGAAGAAGGTGGACCCCAAAGGTGAAGTCAATCTGCACTTGTCATTACCTGGGGGGAACATGGTGGTCATTTCTAAAGATGACACCAGCCTGCAGCATTTGACCCTTGCCAAGAATACGCTTTCGCTTCTCCAGCCTTTTTGAATTCTGCACTTTTCGATTTGGGGGCTTTTGAGATGACAGCTTTCCCATGAAGGACAGTTAAGACTTGAAAACGGTGGAACGGCCAGGAAGACCCCTCCCAATGAATAGATCCAGGTTCCCTACAAACGTACGAACTTTAAACTTCCTTTCAAAACAGCCTTTTCAACAGGGACATTTGGTCTATGAATTGGGAAAGGAAGTGAGGTTCATTCCACCAACCAGGCAATCCTTAAAGATTCCCAAGACGGGGTCGATCTATTTTTTTTCAGGAGGCGCGTGTAAGGTTCATGCATGCTGAAGCCATGGCTCTTGGACTCGCCTTGGAACCTGATGCACGCACGCGGATTTGGCAGCTCTTCGCGAAATGGGCTACTTGATGCTCATATTACCTTTTGTGAATTTGTTGGTCCAACGGTACGGACAATCTATGCGAGCTGTCCCAACACTCTTGATGGCCGCAAATGCAAACTACTACGAAGGGTCATGTGGAGGGCCAAGCTCGGCTAGGGTCCCCATAGCTAACTTGCAAGCTCGGCTACGGAAAGCGAGCCCTAAAAACCCGAAACCTGAGTCCTAAACACCCTGAACCTACCCTAAACTTGGACCCTAAGCTTAAACCCTGAGCCCAAAAGGTCCGACGCATGGACCGAATGGAGTAGGGTGAATGTTAGTGGGGCAACAAACTTGATGCTTTTCTTCGACTTCGAGACTTCGGCCTTCTTGTCGTGACCATTTCCCACACGGAAAGTCTACTTTCAACACGGGACATGGCCGGGAAGTGGCCGAGTAAGGATGTCGACTGCTCTGGAGAAATCTCCAAAGCGGAGCTTGCAACTATGCTTCAAGACCTTGATCCGTCTCTTAGCGATGAGGAGATCTCTCGGGTTTTTGCCATGCTGGATGTCAACAAGGACGGCAGGTTGCAATGGTGCGAGTTCTTGGAGGTGGTCAAGATTCTCCCGGATCCCGGCGCAAAGCGTTCCATGTAGGCTGATTTGCAAGTCAGTGTGCCGTTATTTGGGCATTCTCTGAATAGATCGATTTCTTTTTGGAACCCCTCGGGAGTCCCGTGTTTATCGGTTTCTATCGCGGCGAGTATCGCTGTGCAGAGAGATCTACGCGGGACCCAGTTTCACCATCACCGGTAACCTGCCTAAACTGGAGTGGGTTCGACACTTTGCGCAACAAACATAGAAGTGTGTGAGCCTGGGCGGTGATTTGCTGCACAACAAAAAGCAGAACAACAAAAACATCTGTGAGAGCCGACAAGTGCAACGGGGGTCCTCATGCCGGAGAAGTCCTCCCCCCCAAAGAGACAATACCCAACAAAGCGCAAAAAGCGGCACAAGCTCCTCCAAAGGCTAGAGGTTTCACAATTTGTTCAAACACCAGCCGTTTTTCGGTTTTTGAAATCTTGAGCGTACGGGTTTCGAGAGTTGGCAAACAAATTACTCGGACTTCCTGTCAAAACTATGGCCCCTTCCCTGCCAAGGCCTGACATGCCTCGAAGGCGTTCCAGGTCTTCGTCCCGGAGGCGGAGGCGGACAAACAAGGGAGGGACGCGGAAAGAAGCGCCTCCTCTTCTTTGAGGGGAGCCCTCGTAGTTTGGAGGACTGATCCGGAATAGTTGGAATACCCTCCACCAAGCTTGTCAAAATAATGCATGTCCCCCTATGGATGTGTTTGTGCAGGTCGAGGGAGAAGGCCAAGGAGAGAGGCCGCAAGAGGCGGAGGTGCCCTCAAAAGCTTCGGAGATCAAGGTCATTTCTTTTCGGCTTCCAGGGTTTGCTCAGCCAAAAGGGACGCTGCATAGGTCCAGCTCGAGCAGAAGATCCGTGGAGGAGCTGACTCCAGAGATGCTGGAGGCGCAGAGAAAGCAGAAGGCGCGATGGACGCCGAGCTGGGTAATTTCATTTGTAATTTCATTTGGTGGACTAGACAAATCCGCAGGATTTCATTTGGGGTCCTCAAGTTGTCAAGAGGCATTGGAAGAGAAGCTGATCGAGGAGGAGGCGCTTGCTTTTGGGTTGCCTGCACTCAGCGGCAGGGCTCTCGCTAGGCTGGCAGAAATCCATTGCCAATTGCCACGGTTTGTCCGTACTGCAAAGCTCGTTGTGCAGGGCTCGCATGTGCAGTCTTGCTTTTCTTCATTTTGACATTGAGCGTGGGTGTGTCTGTTTGGAGCTTTCTGGTGGACAAACAGAAGTGTCCGATTCCTGTTTCGGACAACCCTTTGCGGCGAAGAACTGAGCGAGGAGGTTGGATCGTTGTGTGTGTTTGTGTGTGTGGGTGTGCGTGTGCGTGTGCGTGTGCGTGTGCGTGTGCGTGTGCGTGTGCGTGTGCGTGTGCGTGTGCGTGTGCGTGTGCGTGTGCGTGTGCGTGTGCGTGTGCGTGTGCGTGTGCGTGCGTGGGCGTGTGCGTGTGCGTGTGCGTGCGTGCGTGTGCGTGTGCGTGTGCGTGTGCGTGTGCGTGTGCGTGTGCGTGTGCGTGTGCGTGTGTGTGTGTGTGTGCGTGCGTGTGCGTGTGCGTGTGCGTGTGCGTGTGCGCGGGTGTGCGCGTGTGCGTGTGCGTGTGCGGGTGTGCGTGTGCGTGTGCGTGTGTGCGTGTGTGCGTGTGTGAGTGTGTGCGTGTGTGCGTGTGTGCGTGTGTGCGTGTGTGTGTGTGTGTGTGTGTGTGTGTGTGTGTGTGTGTGTGTGTGTGTGTGTGTGTGTGTGTGTGTGTGTGTGTGTGTGTGTGTGTGTGTGTGTGTGTGTGTGTGTGTGTGTGTGTGTGTGTGTGTGTGTGTGTGTGTGTGTGTGTGTGTGTGTGTGCGTGTGGGCGTGTGCGTGTGGGCGTGTGCGTGTGCGTGTGTGCGTGTGCGTGTTTGGTATTGGTCAGGTTTGGGTTAGGTTTACTTTAGTTTGGGTGGCTTTAGGGTTCGTTTTGGCTTGGTTGAGGTTGGTTCAGGGTTGGGTTCAGGGTCAGTTCAGCGTTTGTTCAGGAGTAGTTTTGTGGCTACGAGTTGAGTTTTAGTTTGAGTGTTTAGGGTGGGTTAAGGGCTGTTTCTGGGAAGGTTTAGGGTGTGGGGAAGGGTTTAGGGCTTTTTGTTCGGGGTTGGGGTGAATTTTTGGCTCATTTGAACTGCGTGGCCGGTAGGTAAATTGGTCAAGGATTGCGATCTGGGAGCCAAAGGTGTCGTTAGGTCGGGCATTGAAAACGGTTGGGGTGAATGGTCGGAATCGATTTGGTGTGGTCGGGATGGTTCGAGGCCGGTACCCATCCTGTATGCAAAGCAATCATCATCTCAGGCATGGAAGGGCCGTGCCAATGCCTCATGTAGTCTTCTCTAGAGCCTTTTGCCGCCAGAAATCCTACTGATTCTGTCAGACCAATGTGGCATTCCCAAAACAGGGAACCAGCAAAGGGAAACAAACTGAATGGTTGCTGTTTCCTCTTGGTTTCCTACCAAAGAATCAGCACACCTCAGCAGACGAGCCATCCAAAAAACAGTTGTCTTCTCTTCACGCCGCATGGCGAGGTGTGGCGCCGCTACGAGGCCGAGCTGCAGAGTGCCCTAGACCAGCGCTTGGCCAGCACCGAGTTCCGGGAAATGGCTTGGGGCCCAAGACGGATGCGGGCCCATGGGTTTCCCTTTCGTTCCCGTTTAAAAGCTCGGAAGAAGGGCCCTCAAAAGACGAGTCCACGCTGGTTTTGTTCGATGTTGACAGGTGCCCCACAGTGTGGTTGGCATCGGGGAGCATCATAAAGCCTCACTTAGGTGGTTTGGAGTAACTGAGGTAAATGGGAAATCGCCCTCCAACCTCCAAACCGCCAACTGAAGGAAAGCCGATCACACATTTTTGTTTTGCTCCTTTTGGCAAAATTGGGTGTTCCATTTTGGTGCCGTCAGTTGGTCTGCTTGGGACACGCAAGTTTGCGGGGAAGCTCGATCTTTGGCGAGGTGAAGGTCAAAGTTGACCAGGACGGGTGTCGCTGCGCGCGGATTCTGGATTGGGGGCGACTGGTGACTTGAGGAGCGCACTCGCCTTGAGGAGGTAATGCTGAGAGAGGCGCTGGCAGACGTTTGTGTGAGTAGGGTTCGAATCTGACCGGTGAGGTCGAGGAGGCAAAGCAAGCGATCCTGGAGGACGTTTTGTTAGTATTTGAATCTTTGCCTTGCCATGTTGTGTTGTTTTGGCAATACCCTTTGGGATAACTTAGAGCCCGAATTTTGCAGCTGCCAGCCTCCAGACGTTTGCGTTTTAGGACGTAACTCGCAAGCAGAAGGAGGAGGAGGAGAAGGCGCAATCTCCAAAAAATGTGCAGTCAGCCACAGTTGCGTTCAAGTTGGTTCAGAGTTGGAAGAGATTCTTGGCCACAACAGGGTGGTTTCCCGCTTTTCCCGTGTTGTCGGACTCGCGCTTTGCAATTTGCTTTGCAATTACCTCTCAAGGTTTGCGCGTCCTTGGAAGGAGAGAGCAGAGGAGGAGCTTCGAAAGAAGGAGGCAGTTGACGTCAGCTGGAGTGGAGTCTCTCGCGCTGCTTTGAACAGGCCGAGAAGGAGCAAGCGGTGAAGCAAAAGCAGCATGACGCCTATGGTCAATTTGAGCGCAATACTTCAACAAGCCCATGGTGGTCCCCTTAAATTCACAGGGTTGATGTTATAGGCCTTGTCAAAGCATGGAGCCCATACCCGAAGGCGACTTGAATTCGTTTGGTTCGTTGGCCAAGGCTTGAGGCGCAGGCCAAGCTGGACGAGCAGCGGCTAAAGGACTCGAACGAGTTGCCAAGGTCAGTTCCCGATCTAGACGGAGGCGATCCATGTATCCTGCAGGGGTTTTAACATGTTTTAACTAACCTCAAAGGATAGGCGATTGCCAAGTGGGTAATGACGCAATGGTGTTTGTTCGCATGCCGGAATGACTTCTTGGGGTCTGGGCCTGGGGACATCTGTGCGTTTGTGTTTGGGACTTTCATTACGGGCCTAAAGGCAAGAGTCAAAGAACACGCAGGGTCCCCTGTGTGTTGACTGTCTGTATCAGCAAAGGGACCCTAGGATGAAGGATCACAAGAAGGGGCTTTTGCTTCGAGCGGCGGCTCAAGCAGGTACTTCAAGCATTGCAAAGCAAGAAAGAACACCCAAGCATGGCTCGTCGTGGTTGGTTGGACCCTGAAACAACAGAGATAGACATAGTCAGCTGGATCAGGTGTGTCAAAAAAGGCTGCTTTCCTCATTCCAGGTTCTGTCGCAGGACCTGGAGCAGCGGCAGGAGGAGCAGCGGAAGAGGCGCGATGCCAAGGTGGCGGAGGAGGCTAAGAAGGCGCGGATTCGATTTTCTTGTTGCGCGTGAAAAGAAGCTGACATGGAAAAGCCAAAGGTAGCTTCTCTTGGAGACATCATCGAATATGTGAGCTCCATTGTGACCGGTGATGAATCATCCTTGGACATGTCACACGGATGCACCGCACAATGGACAGCTCTTGGGGGAAGCAAACTAGGGACCCTCCTTCTCATTTGGTTACCTGCTGATTCTGAACTTTTTGAGGTCTCCTTTTTGGCACCATCCAATCAAAGCATTCCACTGTTGGGCTCTTTTCTGAGGTTTGCGGGGTGTCTTCTTTTGTCACAAGGGAATTCACCACGAGCCCAGGGTTCCCTTGCGAGAGTTGGGGCGCTTTCAAAGGGTTTGCCGGAGCCGCAGGTGGCAGAGACCTCTCGGCTGCTCAACACCCAGGGCCAGCGCCAGGCGTCGGAATGCCCTTGAAGACCTGAAGGAGTCATGTGGTCAAGGAGGCAACCTGGCGGTTCCCACAGGATCAAGTGTGCCATGAGCTGATTCCCGAACCGGGGAAGACCCTGGCTCCGTACCAAAGGGAACACACCAAGACAAGAAGGTTTGGCTTTCCTTCTGTGGGCTGTTTCTATGGGTCCCTCCCGCCAGTCTGTGGGCTTCAAGCTGAAGCAGAACATCATCTGAGTCGCTTTCGGCCTGCGGAATGAAAAGCTACGCTTTGTTGTTTGCTTGCACCCACTGCTATACCCTGGGAGCACAAAGTGATCAGTCCAGGCAAATCGTGGGCCCTGCCGCGTTTACTCGTTTTGCTTGTAGATCGCTCTGGAGGCAGACCGAGCCGGCTGGGCTTTGCAGTGGGCTGGCCGGAGCCTCTGGGAAGTTTGGGCTGTTTGGTCTGGCGGTTTGGTGTCAACCGTCGGATTCCATTGTCACATTGGCTCAAAGACCCGGAGGGGTGCGGGTGTTTCATCCAATTCGAGAAGCCGTGCCTTGGCCTTGGCCGAGCATTCCAAAGTTTTCGAGCGATCTGTGGCAGTTTTCCAGGTTGCAGACATGGCTCAAAAGGCGAGAGAGCACCACAGACAGAGAATGCGAGGTTTCAAGCTTGCCAGGTCATCTGCCGGCCCTTGAAGGGGGAAAACTTTGAAGTGGAGGTTGCTGCTGAGGCGCCCTCGAGAACTTCTTTAGAGAGTGGTGGATTGTGCACTTGTAGGGTTCGGGGTGATTTGAGTCACACAGAAAGCCTCAGTTACTGCCCTTGTGCAGGCAACGGTTGCAGATCTCAAGAAGGGTGTCTCTGAGAAACGCAGCGAGCTCTGAACTTAGGTCACAGGGACTCTCCGCCAGAGGTTTCCCGCCCAAAAAGACTTGTGTTGATTTGGTCTGCTATCAGCATTGCGCTAAAGTCGAGACATTTAGGATGCCGGCCGAGCAGCAAAAGCTGATCCACCAGGGCAAGATCCTGGATGACAAGAGCCTCGTCAAGGCATTGTCCCGCGCACTCGATCTGAGCTCATGCCATGAGCTGCCAGGACATCGGCATCAAGGAGGGCGAGTTCGTGGTTGTGATGTTATCCAAGGCCAGTTCTTTCAGCTGGCGAGAAATATGCGGACTCGGAGTCGACCCACCAACTTGACGTCACCAACCCCAAGTCCTTGCCAAGTTTCCAACGGTTTCTTGAGGTCCTACTTATGGGTCCAACGGTCCAACTTGTAGGCCAAGCCTCCGGCCACACCCGCGCCTGCGGCGACCCCCGCTGCGACTCCGGCGGCGCCATCCCCAGCGCCGGCGGCGCCATCCCCTGCGCCCGCGCCAGGCTGGGACGGGCTTCCGTTGGATTGTCATGTTTGGAGCTGACAACGTTGGTTTTAAAGGGACTGCAAAAGGAAAGCAAGTCCCCTACAAAGGCACCCAGCCATGCGTGTGCCTAAAGACCCTGTCCACAATTGCCGCTGGTGCATTGTTAGTTTGCAGAAACTGGGGGGCACGCCCCACATTTTCCATGTTTTGTTGGGGACGCACAAGAGAGTCAAGTGAGTTGCTGTTTATGATGTTTGGTAAATTATAGAACCCATGCGACATGAAGTGCACTCCAAAGACAAGACCAGTCTTGGTCGCAACCATCAATTTGTGTCGCCCCCTTGCTCCCCTGGAAGTCAACACGGACCAAGACTCTGCAAATACCCAGAAAGGTGCCCTCAAGAAACACACATCCATGTATTTGCTGACAACGACTCACTTGGCGCTTCCAGTCAGCCACGCTTATCTCCAAATCAGAATACAGTTTTTGAAAATGACTTGTGTCCCTTTGGCTTCCCAAACTCCGTCAATTTGTCCCTTCCTTGTCCAGGGCTGATTCCCAGCGGCTCTGCCAGCCAGGCGTGGACGCGGGCGCGGCCGCGGCCGCCACCGTGGTCACCGGCGCGGCAGCGGAATCGCGCGGGACCCAGGGGACTTCGGGACTTCGGGCTACATATTGGATCAGATCAAGGCTATGGCTCCAGCCCTGGAGGACCTACACGATAGGAATTGAGCGCAAGGAACCTATCACAGGTTGGGGAGTCTCTCACAGGGTTGTGGGGCTCCTAATCAAAGACCAGGGGGGTTCACACAACGCATCAAAGAAACAAGGGTAACCATCTCAGCAGGAAGGAACTGTTAAAGTGGAACTAACTGTGTAAACACCTGATGACCTAAATGTGTCAAACCTGTGATGTGACAGCTCGGCACTTGTTGTCCTGATGGGCGAGGGCTGCAGCTCCTATGATGTACATAGGCTCAAGGCCTTGATTGTACAAGCAGCATTCCAGATGTATTGGGATGCATGTATCTTAACACGCCTGCATTGCCAGTTCCGCTGCGGCAGGTGGCTTTTTGGCTTTGTGGCTTTTGGCGGCATCCTCTGCTTTCCCAGTTGGTTTTTGGCCTTGGCTTCCTGCATCCTCAGCATCGCAAGTTCCTCTCTGGTGCCCCCCGCCACCCCCCTTTCGATTAACATACACGCCTAATTGAATCATCAGTTTTTCGATCATCACGCGACAGCTACTTTTTAGATTCTTTGCCCCTATTTTCGATCATCATGGGGGGGGGGGCTGCCGTTTTGCAGGGATTAGTGTGCCGCAGAGGCCCCCCCGCTGCTTTTATATATATATATACGTATATATATATATATTTAGCCCATTGAATCATCACTTTTTCAATCATCATCCCCCCGACTTTTTGCTCCTGATTGAATCATCACTCTTTCGATCATCATGGCCCACCCCCAAAAAATACAGAAAGGGGATTTGAAGGAACTGAAAATCATTTCTGTATTTTTTCTAACAACCAATGAAAAACACATTGAAAAACCAAGTATCAACTAATAGATAAGGTTAATAAATCACAACCGTATTCATTCTAAGTAATTCCTAGAAAAGATACACACCTTATCCATTATTTTTTCACTACTTAACCTATTTCATTTTACTATTTGTTTACCCTTATTCATTTTATATTTTAAGTCTTTTTCCAATTCTCAGAAACTCCAGTTATTCTTCATTTTTTCTTTTTACCTTATTCATTGTTCGCGAATTTTTCACTCAGACTTAAAAATATGACTAAAACACATTTCCACCTTTAATAATACCTTATTCTTCAACTGGTTTATCATCTTCTTCATTACATAGTTTTTGTTTGTCCTTTTTCTCAATTCTTTTCCTTCTCGCTTTATCCACAACTTCCCTACACCTAAGACAATATCTATATATGCGACCAGTGCTTCTAACTCCAAAGTCATTAACCTTTTTCCAAGACAAGCACCTAGTGCATTGATAATCGTATTTACATTCTTCCAATTCCTTTTCAGGTATTCTAGTATTTATTCTCCAAAGATAATCGCGCGAATCCATGATAATATACAATACTAATAATTCTTTATACATTTTACCAGTAAAACCCATAATTACCAATACCAACTCAAAACCAAACAGTCAAAGCACACAAGAAAACTAAGAAAATATAATATTTCAATCTTTACAAACGATAAATATATTACAATTATAACATATAATATTTTACATGTGATAATCATAGTATGGGTTTAATCATTGCAATAGGCCGTAGAATAATTCTGCAAAGCCCGCATAATATTTCCACAAAGCCCGTGGAATATTTCCACAAAGCCCCGCGGAATTGCATCAAAAACCCACTAAAACACCACCTAAAATGAGTTCCACGAAGCCCGCGGAATAATTCCACAAAGCTTGTGGAATTGCCTATCCCATATCTATGCCCATCAAAATTTCCAATATCAAACCACTAGGTATTTTATATAGGTCGTCCTGTTTATGTATTGTTGGATTGTCTCCCCAATTTTCCTTGGTGCCCGATGGTAGCCGTTGTGCAGTTTCAATATGTGTATTATTCCTGATGTTGCCACAATCCTTTTTACATAATTCTCTAGGTTTCCAAGTTGTAATGTTATTCCAGAGCCTAGTGCGTTTTCTGTAAGGCATTCCATATTTACAGTAATCTACATCTTTAAAACCAAACTCATCCATAAACTCCTGATTTTTTAATAATCCAGTTTGTGGATTTTCGATTACAAAATATTTAGGATTGAAATATTTGATAATCTCAATAGTTTTTAAGACAATACTATTTGCATATTCGATATTCCTAATTCCCCTAGTTTTTGCTATGCTGTATTCAGTGCATGGGGGACTACTCCAAATAAAATCAACATGGTGTCTGTCAAACTGTTTGTAATCCCACTCCAAAATATCAGTGTTGATATCAGCATTTTTCAAGTCTAATGATATTACATTAAATCCAAGCGACTTTGCTATGGTTCCGACGCTTTTTGTTCCGCTAAATAATTCTAATAAATTCATTTATTAGAATTATTTAGATATTAATTATTCAAATAATACATATACTCCATCATCATTTTTTGAAATTTTATAATAGTCTAATGTTTGTTGCTTTGGTTGCTTGATTTTTCCTGTATTCAACATATCACAATATTTCTTTTGCTTTGTAGGATAATCACCCGTTGGTCTTCCTATAGATTTTGCTTGAAATATCTTTTCGATTTTTTCTTTATCTTCATTGTTCAACTGGTTTCATTTTGTCATCAATGGATTTAATCATATCATTTAAGTTTTTGATATTTTTACCAATTAATGTTATCTTCTTCATTAAATCATTAATAGTATAGTTCTCATTTTCAGACATTACTATATATTTATTTATATATTTATAAAGTGCAATTATGTTAAATCTACTCTTTAAATACTAATTTTTCATCATTTGTTTAACAGTTTCCTGTGTTTCGTTTTCATTATTATCGGATGGTGTTGCTTGCCTACCAAATTTAAAAGTTATACTATGGACATCAGTTTCTAAGTTGATACTGTCTTTAGTTTTATCAATATTCATTTTCTTATCATTTTTACTTATTTTGAAACTTGTTGGAATACATGAACATTTACATGTTTTATTATTTTTTTATTTCTAATTCATTTTTAAGTTCTAACATCTTTTTGCACATAGGACAAGCAATCTCAAATACTGATGTTTCTTTAACAATTTCTCCGCTATCTTCTGTTGAAGAAACACTTAAACCTGTCTTATTCTTTTTGGTTTTCTTTTTTGGCATTTATATTAATATTTATATTTTTAATATATTGTATCAAAAACTTAATTAATTCTAAAATAAAATAACATATTTTTTTACATCTATTATCAGTTATGACAACCCGTTCTATATTTTCTACTTCATTTATTATATCAATATAATCCGAATAACTCATATTCATATAAATAATAAGATAAAATAGTTATTTAATCTTATTATTTTCATGCATAATAGAATATTGGTGGGGCTCAGCACTGGGGTTTTCTTTGCAACGCATCAAACTAATTAGCTTCAATGCTTATTGATTGTAGCAATGGAAAACCTGTTCCATTTTATGATATTCGCCACCAGCATATCATAAAACGATGTTCCATTAATATTAAATATAATATTTATTTAAACTATTTTCTTTAGTAAGTTTTGCTGCAGTTGATATACTAACATCTTTAATATTAATATCAATAACTTCTTCTGCACTATTTATCATTTCATTTGTATACATATCGGGAAAATCTTTCATAAAATTTACTAACTTTCTAAAATTAAAATCTAGGTTATTGTCATTTTCAATTGAGGACTTGGATACTACGATATTTTGTTTTTTAATTGCCGATAAAAAGTATAACATCGTATCATAATATATTTGTTCAGTGTCGGGCACTAAGATATCACCAAATTTATATATCCTCCGAACACTAGCCACTTCACTTAAATTAATAGATTCTATTGCCATTATGATATAATTATATTATATTTTTGTATTTTATAAGTATTTATAATATTATTTTTATTATGCCTGATGTAAAACCAATTGATGAAATCAAATATGACTTTAAGCAAAGTAAGCATGAGGTTGTCCCTAAATTGCCTATGAGAGCTATGATCGTCGGTCCATCTGGAAGTGGAAAATCAACTTTACTTGTATCAATGATACTTGATATTTATAGAGGTGCATATGAAAGAATTTTTACCTGGTCTCCATCTGTAAATTTGGATAGTATTTGGTTGCCTGTTAA